AAAATACAAAAAAAAGTACTGGGGATGTGGCTCAGTGGTTGAGCACCAGTACCAAAAAAAAAAAAAAAAAAAAAAAAAAAATCTTATTATGTGATTTGGTTTATATTCATAGAAAGTAACAGACAATGTCTTATTATTAGTTGTATTAATTTCTAGAAAAATAGTATTATCTTTGAAATATATTGTAAAATATAGTTGTTAAGTAATATTTGAAAAATATTTCATAATTTTAATTCCAGGATAAAAATGAATAGTAAACAAAGTGTTAGGGGAAAATTAAGTAAAAAAAAATCCAATGAGATCAAATAAATGTACAAAGGTGAAGATTACTTTGTTTAGCTGTAATTATATATATTACACACACACATACCCTCACACTAAATGTCAAGCTAAAGGCTGCAATAATGAGAAACCTCAAAAGAAAGTATACTTTGATAATGAGACCAGCTTGGATAAAGTCTACAACAGCCTGGTCTTATAATGAACCCTAGGTCCTGTATTATGCAGTATAATGTACTGTTCTGGTGAATAAAAACTGCACCATTCCCCACTTCATTTAACTTATATATATGCTTAGTCATATTTAGGGTATGACACAAAATCTGCAAAACACCTAAAGTTACATTGACCTTTAGCAGTAAAGAACACCATCAGCTACAAGCAACCCAAACCACTATCTATAAAACAGCAGGTCAAACCACTATGCATAATTAGAAAGTTTTCTAAAATCTCCTTTGAAATAACTCATATGCTAAAATTTTTTACTCTTGGTCAGACTCACTGTCATGAATTGTTCTACTATGCTTATCCATGATTTTGAAAAATGAGGCAACACATGAAATAATTTTTTAAATCACAAGGCAATTATTATAATTGTATAATTATAACATAATTGTAGTACATTCCATGTCACTATTATTCATGATTACCATAAGAAAAATTCTCATTAAGAGATAAATCATTGTCTAATTAGGTACTTACCTCAAGTGAGAGGGGAAATAAGTGCTTCTCTGAACTGTATCAACAACTAGCAAAGAATGCTTTCATACAGAATATAAAAACCAAGAAAACATGCTTTATGGAAAAAATGTACTGCTTTATCATAGCAAATATATCAGTTTTCTAGCATTTTATAATAAAAGTGGGAAGTGCTTTAAAAAATGTTCTCCTTACCTGTGTATACAGTTTTTACTCTCGAGATATAACATACCAGCAGCAGCATCTAAGGAAAATTTCACCAACTGTTTGAGTTTTAGTTCATCCTTCTTCTTTCTCAGATAGGAGAGGAAGTCACCTCCTAGAATAAATCACAGAAGAACAGTGAAATAAAATTATGACTAAAGTCACATTTATACCCCATAAGTATATCTGACGGGAAAAAAAGAATTACACATTTGGAGATGATTTTGATCCCATTTGACCTTCATCAGTTTCTTGTAGGAAACAGGGAAAACAGAAAACATGAAAAGAACACATCCTGTTAGAAAGAAGATACCATAAACTTTTCTAGATACTTTAAGTGCTTCATACTGCATATTACTCAAGATATAATATTTAATCAAAACCACACTCATCCCTGTCACCATTTTCCCCAATTTGTTCCATTAAATTTTCTAAGACATTCTATTTTCTATAATATAAAAGAATATAATAATTATGAGTTAATTGAATAGTGATATTGGATTAGTTATTAAATTCAGTAATTGATTTAAAAATTAAAACTATTTATACTACTTATCTCTGTACTAGTCAAAAAGAAATATTCTCATGTTGATGAGATTTAGCCACTGACCTAGATTGCATTTTAGTTCAAATAAACTGTCTTGAAAAAACTTAAGATTACTGTTAAATAGTTTGTAAAGTTTTTAAAAAGGTAAATTTTTATGTTTTATTTATACCAATAGATGCAAAATATTATATTAAGTTGTATCAATATCAAAATTATAGTTGAGATATTTAAATTTTTTATTATACTAAGTCTTGGAAGTACTACATGCTTATGGTACCCCTCAGTTTATATGCAAATTTCCATCTGAAATATTTAATCTACATTTAGATTTCATAAAACTTGAGTTGAAAAAATAGATTCACAAACTTGAGTTGTTCCAAACATATTTAACATTTTCAATAACTGATCCATTATCAATTTTCAAATTCAAAACAATGAAAATTAAATGAAATTTAAAATTCAGTTTTAGAAGTACCAAACATATTGCAAGAGCTACATATGATCAGAGATTATCATATTGAATAGTGTCACATTAAACTTTTCATTCCTTCTTAATGTAGACTTAAATGTTATGGCTTGGTTATTCTTTTTAGATGATTAATAGCATATTGCTCTATATTTATAACGTTAAAGTATGTTAGAAGTCATGTTCCCTAAAAGCAATCATTCACACTTTCCCTATGAGCCCCCTAAATATTAAATCAGAATTTTTAAAAAGGATCAGCATCTTAATTGCCATTTCCTGAACCTTTTTTGCTCTCTTCACCAGGCATCTAGCCTTCCTTAAATAGAAAACTTCCTTAAACAGAAAAGCTCTAGAGGTAAAGACTTAAAGACTTTTTCTTTAAAAAGAATACCTAGAAAATAAACACTTGTCTCTCCTTAAAATATTCTTTGTCTGCCAGGTGCATAGGTACATGCCTGTAATCTCAGTGGTTCTGGAGGCTGAGACAGGAGAATCATGAGTTCAAAGCAAACCTCAGCAAAAGCTAGGCACTAAGCAACTCAGTGAGACCCTGTCTTTAAATAATATACAAAATAGGGCTGGGGATGTGGCTCAGTGGTTGAATGCCCCAAGTTGAATCCCCAGTAACATACATATGTGTGTGTGTGTGTGTGTGTGTGTGTGTGTGTGTGTATGTATATTTTCTTGTAACCTCTTCTCTTACAAATCAAGTGTAAAACAAATTTGGGTGGGTCATTTACAAACTAATATGCTTTTTACCTTAAAAATAAATTTAATGGTATCAATTTTCTATTTAAGAGCTTAACTTAAAAATCTGAACTCATAATTTCAACAGTAAACAACAAAAGTAAACACTAACTTCTTAAATTTCACAGGTACCAAAAATACCTGTTAACATGGACTTGAAATCAGTATTTAGGTAAGATATTGTTTGGACCAATATTCATATATATATATTTTTATTTTTTGCTCAATATATGTTCACCTGTTTTAGAGAAAGTATACCCTTGTGGTTTTGAAACCACATATCATTCTACTTCAACTATGAATTACTTTTAAATAAAAAGAACTCTTTTGCAATTTGATTTATAAGCAGCATATGATATAACCCAGTATTCTGTGGAATCCAGGTATTATTTTTTCCCTCAAGTTAGCTCATCTTCAGCATATTTTCATTTGCCTCCTACCCTTTTAAAATTTTCTTCTTCATGTAATTCTCTTTGCACTCCCCACTTATTACCCAAACTTATTGCACCTCTGTTGGTCAATATTTGTTATTAATGTTATTGAACTAATAAACTATTATTTAAAATTATTTAATATCATTATTTGATAACACATGATATATTCATAAACAAATAGCATTAAAGACTAGGTGAAAAGTAATGACAACTCATTAAGCACTAGAAAGTCTACAGTTATTTCTAGATGTGTCTCAGCTAAAGATTCAGAAGGAATTTCTGATTGTCTTATCATTAAACCAACAATATTCCTGCCTTTGAACGAACTCTTACTTAAAAGTCTTTAAATACAGGACATTCATTTCTAATGTTTCCAGTTTCTAATTAAGTCACAGGCAGGGTGATTAAGTATAGGAGCAGAGTCCCCAAAATGCCACAGGCCCAGTCAGCTTCTTGCAGAAAACCAGATGGAAGCCAGGACTTCAGTAAAAATTAAATAATTATGATTCAGGATGAAAACTTGAATCTTGTTCAAGTGCAAGCAGTAAGAATGATACAGCAAGAAATAAGAATGCTGCAGCAAGTAGTAAATTATGGGACAAAACTTAAGATAAACAGAAAATAATTCAGATAGGCTGAAAATACTCCTTTAGGCACAATACTTGATAATCACCATCAATGAAGAAAAACGGATGTTACAGTCTTCACTATTTACTATGAGATTAGTTTAAAGGAAAGAATCCAGGTCTTTCAATCTGTTCTTTTTTCATTTTTACTAAGTGCTAAGTTAAAAACTTTAGAATTTTGATACGTATGAAACTCATACATGAGGCACATAAATATATGCACATATGTATACACAGGTATACATAGTATATGCGCACACATACACCTATATGTCTGCATATATAAGGCATAGGGTGACCTAACTTGTCCACTGAAGTAAGGATTTTGTGCTCAAAGTAGGTAAAAGAAGGTAACTTCTCTTTTGTATTTCTGTCTTAGCATGGTTTCTTTCTGTATGGGTGTGCTTAAACCAAGACAGCATGATTATTTCCTAGAATTCTACAGAAATGATGAATTTCTAAGACAATATGTTTTTAATAATCAACTTATGGTTTACTCTGGAGGCTCAGACTCAGTTTCACAGTAAAGAGCCATGAGGAAAAGAATCATGGTGAAGAGAGTCACAAAGTCAGACTCACTTGGGTCTGATTGACAGTGTGGCTTAGGGAAACTTGATTAATCTTTCTAAACTTTACGAAAAAGGGACTAAACACCATTATTTCTTAAGATGGCTTTGAAACCAAAATGTGTCTACAGCATTAGGCATGTATTTAGTATGTAATATATACTACTACTTACTACTGCTGAAGTTACTTCACATTAAAAATGAGGATGAATTGTAGGAGAGATGGTTGCTTGCTGTATGTACCTCATTTAGTTTCCCTTCAAATGCTATAATTTCCTTTAGAGAATTGACCCCACCCCCATTTTAGAAGGTATTAACCTCCCTCTGAACAAAGAGTGGTCCTAGATTGGCTTAACACAATCAAAGAAGTCTATTCCTCTGTCTAAATGATTGGTTCAGGGAAAGACACATGGCTTAATACAGGACACAGACTCAAGGAGATGACTGAAGGGTGAATGAAACTTTTTGAGAGAGATAAGAAGTGCAAGCAGAAGTGAATTAGACAGTACATTATAAGAACTGGCAGTCTTAAGATGAAAGCATCTAAGAAGCATCAAAAGATGCTTTCATAGAAAGCAGAAAAGAATGAAGGAAAGAGGCTAGCTTTACTAACATTGGAGCCTTTGGATCACAGGCTCTCTGAAGCCTGACTTCCCTTTAAATTTTTCAATTAAGTGAACCAATAAAATTTCTGGAATTTTTTAATGTTTTCTGTACTAGCAACTCAAAGATAACTAATGGGCATACTATCTGTAACAGAAGATTGCTTTGAGGATTTTTAAAAAGAGAATGCATCTTAAATTTCTGGTACAGGTAGAGAATGAAATAAACACAACTGCTTAAGATTGTTAGAAGCCAAATTTTAATAAGAGGATATAAGGTTGGTATATTCAACAGCTCCCTCCTAAAGATTTCTATTACTCCATGCTATGAAAATTTGATCTTACCTGTTCTTTCAGTGTTAATGAGGCTCTGAGGAACTGATCATACTTAATATAAACTCAGATTATTATGTAAACAAGAATATTAATTTATTAGTTTGTAATTGAAGAAAAGGGATCATCAGAGCAATACTATTAATAACTTCTTGTCATTGAGTCATGGAGAGATCTTAATTCATCTTCAAATAACTTCAAAGTTTATTAAATTAAGAGATACCAGTCCCCAGTGATGTATAAAATGTATAATTCATTACCCTTGTTTTTAGGATATTAATTTGCTCCCTGAGAAATTTGTTTGGTTTAGCTGTGTTCAATTATACATTTAAAAATAAGCTAGTACTGAAAGCAAATATTAAATGAGAAAGCTATTTTGAGGCCTCCATTTAAGAAACTGTTCAGAATTCTTGTAAAAAGTTTTGTTCTTTAATCAGTTGTAATAAGAATTCTGGCTGTTAGCCAGCCCATGGGAAACAAGGGGGAAATCCATATGGAAAGCTTAAACAATGAACATTGACTCAAATTGTACTCCATGAAACAGAATAGATTTTACACAATAGGATGCAAGTTCAAGCAAATTAATGAAGAAATGACCAATAAACACTGCAGTAGAGGATATTGGCTGCTACATGTCGGATGGTTAATGAAAGATGAATTGCACAGAAAGGAAGATTAGCCAGGGAAATGAATGTTCAAGCAAGGTCACAGGAAGAATTATCCATAGAAGTAGACTAGAACATTTGATCTGCAAAGACTCAGTAAAAACAGTTCAGTTTGTGGGGAAAGGCAAG